TTGATCCCTGTGTCTCCCCCCTCGGTCCTGCATTCAACATTTCAATTACGTTCAGATCTATATTTTTAAAGATTGCACTTTTTAGTTTTATAATTTCTGTTCTATATTTTTATTTCTACATTGTATGTCCTTTCTTGCTTCTCATAGAAATGTAAGTGAAAAACCTACTTGGCAATAAACCTTATTCTGATTCTGATTTGGATCCTTCCCCCATCTCAAACCGGGATCTCGAATAGTGACATCTTAATGGAAACAATGAGATCACGAGCAACAAGTGCTTCATATCTGAGTGTTTTGGACTGTGTAAGAACAGTAATTAAAACATTCAAATCCTGTTAGGAGTTGGGATCAGATTTTTCGGGGAAACATTCTACCTGCAGAGGCTTGAGATTGCAGATATCTGAACAGCATCTGGTCAGGTTCGTTCACGAGAACAGCGACAGTAGTAAAGCTAAATAAAAAAAACAGAAACCCCCCCACCTCCGTGCGCCTCTTATCGGAGCTGTGACAGCGGTTGGTGGCGCCGAAGCAGAAGCAGCTGGTGCAGCCTTTGGGGTTGGTGGGGTCCAGGTAGAAGGTCCCGATCCGGCACTGGTCGCAGCGCGAGCCCTGGACGTTCTCCTGCAGAAATGTATATCAAAAACATTTGATGTGTTTCTAGTGATTTTATGTGTGAAGTGTGAACGTGTGTGGGAAAAATGGCCCATCCTGGGACAAATAAAAGCTCCTGAGCTGAGCTGAGGTCGGTGGCCCCCCCACCTTGCAGAGACAGCGCCCCGTGAAGGAGTCGCACACTTCCTCCTCCGTGCCCGCCTCGTTGCAGTCGCACGGCCGGCAGTTGGGGTAACCGTAGAAACCGGGGGCGCAGCGGTCGCACTGGCGCCCGATGATGTTGTTCTTACACCTGGGAAGGATTTCACAACCTGTTATTCAACGTTCAGAAGACAAATGCAGAGAAAAAAAGCTATACATTGGAGAGCTATCTATCTCTTTAAGCTTTGCAGAAGACTGAATCTTTTCAATTGGAGGTGCTGCAACTGGGAAAACTGAAAAGCAAGCAATCAATAATCAATAATCTGACAATAAAGTCTCTAGAGGAAAATCCCTGGTCAAAGTCAGTGGGCCCCAGCTTTTATCTGGTTGGTGTTTATGCTTTTCCCAAGATATCTGGGATTAGTATGCTCTAATAAGTTTAATATATAGACTTTGTAATTGGTACAGGTAGATTTTTTTCAGTAGTTCATACATTTGTATTTAAAATGTCTATCTATGTATTTGACAGTTTACTCAGAAATTAGGGTCTGAATGTCTAAATGACTTAATTACATTTTAATTACACAATAAGGACATGACTGAAAAGGTATAAAACCGTTTTATTTTGAATTAAAAAGATTTGTGTCTGATAGCATCTACTATGAGGCCAAGAGGTCAAAGTTTAAAAAAAGTTAGCATCATGATAAGAGAGGCAAAAACATGATGTCCTCTTATTTTGATCTTATCTTGGAGGTTAAAATGATTCACAAGTATTTCTCATATTAGCCCAATTTATCTGAGGAAAAAAGGAAAAATATGGGCGTCTTTGCAGCTGCATTAGTAAGTTGTGTTTTCCGTTAGCAAAGTAGGGTCATTCCACTGGTCAGGAGGTAACAGCGTGATGTTTTTCTCCATTTTCTCCTACCTGCACTGTCCACTGTCGGTGTCACAGCTCACGTCCAGGGACAGCAGGCCCGGCCGGGAGCAGTTGCACACCTCGCAGCCCACCAGCGGGTGGCAGCCGAAGGTCTGGGGCTGGCAGCGCGTGCACTCGGGCAGCACCGTGCGCGGGGGGCAGATGCAGTCCCCCGTGGTGGGCTCGCACAGCCTCTCGCCACAGTTACAGGCTGGGGGGGGAAAGAGGGGAGCCAGCTCACATTCGTGCAGGAGAACACCGAGATACAGTCATTTGACTATTATAAATCAATAAAAAAGCACATTTTTAATCTGTTTGTCATAGGATATGTTCTACAGAGTCTTTAAATTAGCAGAAATATTATGTGTGACAGTATTCAACACTATTATTTGCACTCATATGTTAGTTTGACGTCTTTTTTTACACAGTTTGAACTCATTAGATGTCCATTTTATATGACCAGCTGAAAAAGACACCACAGAACAAACATCCTATGTAAAGAAGACATGGAAACGTGTGAAAAAATCCTTTTTCAATAGCGGAAGACTGCATCCTCTCTGTCTCGGAGAGAATTTGGATGGAATTTTTGTGTTCCAGCAACACATTTCCATGTATTTTGGGACTGCCCAGTCATTTAAAAGATATTGGGAAAAAATCAAATTGAACCCTGAGAAAAATCCTTAAAATAATGATCCTATCAGAGTTTGAGATATTAGGTCTCAATATGTAATATGTATTGTCAATATATTATAGTTGTCAAGTAAAAAAGCAAGGCATATAAAAGACCCCCCCACCCGCACAATCAAGGACTAGATTAAAGTTGTTAAGGATATTTTTAAAATCGAGAAGCTAATATTCAACCTTCAGCTTTAGCTAAAAAATTCTGAAAATCACTGGGAAAAATGGACAAACTATCTACCAACTTAGAGACAAGATACTGGATGAAGTGATAACTCCACCCCGAGTCACTCACTCCACTAATTTGGTTCTAGTTTCTGTTTTTGTTTCAGGAATTGAATGCAGCAAAATAACTAAATTTAATTTCCTAAAGGTTTCATTTAAGTTGGTGTTGCTTGTGTCACCAGTCGTTTTACCAACCAACGATAAGCTGCTGTTTGGAAGAGAAAACATGGATACGGGTTTCTTTTACTGTTTAACTCATCTCTTTCTCTTTATGCTTTAATCAAAAGACTTGAGAACCTGCTTACAATGTAAATACAATGTAAAGTACGGGTCAGAGCATCATGTAAGACCTGTTTTTCTTCAAATAAAAAGTTTAACTTAAAAAAAATGAAGTAAAAAAGACGGAAAAGGGTGGGACACTCACGTCTGCAGTTGGGGAACCCCCAGAAGCCGGTGGCGCACATGGAGCAGTCCCGGCCAATCACGTTGGGCCGGCACTGGCACTGGCCGCCGAACTGCTGGCAGGTGTCGCTCTGGGCCCCCGCCTCGTGGCAGCCGCACGGCAGGGCCCCGTTGTTGAAGAAGGCCGACAGGGAGACGGCCGAGGCCAGGCAGAACGGGGGGGCGGAGGAGGGACTGGAGGGAAACACACAAAAAAAGAGACAACGCTTCAGCCGGGATGATTCAGAAAAGGGCCGAGGGGAGGGGGGGGCGGACGACAAATTCACTGACTTGATGTAAAAGCTGTTTTGGCCACAGTTGCTGATGAAGTCGTAGGATTTGTCCAGAGGCTCCTCGTTCAGGTAGCTGGAGCTGTAGCTGGCCTCGGGAACCACTAACACGTAGTCCTGTTGGACACATCATGTCAAATAAAGATATATCCTTATCCCTGTTACAGCTGAGGAAAAACTCCATGGTAAACATTGGAAAATCCAACTCACAGGACAAAAATCTGTTCACTCTCTTGAAATATTCAATTTATTCTAACTAGTACACACAAATGTAAGCATGGTTAAGACTGCTTCAAGGTTTTATTAATAGTTTTAATCCTTTAAAGCCCGATCTAAGAATAAAACAAAACAGAAATGACTTTTTTTTTGTTTGAATTCCTTATTTGGCCTTTTAGCAAAATGTCTAAAAAGAAAAAACAGAAATACATTTTGAAAATAATAATTTATTACTATGCGATAAATCAAGATTATTTTTCGTGTAGTCTTCTGCCCCCTCTTATCAGGTGTATCTGATTTTGAGCAAAGTTTTTACCATTAAATTATGCAAAAGGTGTCAGACCCTATGTATCAAATATAATACATTTGGCATTATAGGGTTAAATGGCTCCCCCTCAAATTTATCCTGCAATAATTTCCCAATTCTGGGATCAATGAAGTTGACTCGTATCTTCGCCCCACTTCAGCTTTAAAATGGACACACAGACTAAGATTTTCAGTCATTCCTGACCCCACAAGGGCAGAAAATAGATCAAAGATCTTTGTTTGAAGTCCTGCAAAAGACAAAAAACCAACGGTCTGAGAAACAGAGCAAATACTGTACCAGCCACAGCGTCTTCCCAGCAGGTATGTGCACGGTCAGGAGGAGGTCGTGGTCAGTCACGTCCAGGATGATCTGGTCCTGGGAGACCAGCACGTTGCGGCAGCCGTAGGCGTGGGGGCAGAAGGAGGCGTTGGTGTGGCCTGAAAGGCAGTCAGCTCAGGCCGTCAGCTTTTCTCCGGACACTAGGACCTCTGTCCACTGTGATGGTGGGTGTGCTACAGGACGACTGGACTCACCCTGCCAGATCCGGCCGGCGTTTATGTCCACCGTCACCGGGTAGGTGGGATGCTGAGGCTGGTGGTAGTGAAGGATGAAGACATAGCGCCCCGGGGAGGAGACACGGGCCGAATACACTGCTGCATTCTGGGAGAGGAGGGAACAAATGATTATCGTTATTATTATAAGTAGTAGTAGTAGTAATAGTATTACTACTATCATATAAGAATGGAAGATTTATGTATTTTTGCTATTTTATACATATATTACTTTTTAATGTTCTTGTAAAATATTTTTTTAGGTTACTTAGTTCAGCTCCAACTAGTCTTCCTATATAACATCATGCTTTTCATAATAATAATAACAATAATAAGAATAAGAATAATATGTAGGAATAGTAGATTATTTTTTTTATTATATATAACTATTATATTACATTATATATAACTATTATATATAACTGTAATTTTATAAATGATATTTTTTGTTTTACTTAGTTTAGCTCCAACTACTCTATCTAACATCATGCTTTTAATAATAATAATAATAATAAT